TGACTCACGTTACTGGAATCAGCAGGGACGCGAACAAGGGTTACAGCACACAGCGTCCTGGCCACTACAGTTCGTTTCCTTGTATCGCTTGCACGATTTCGTCAGTGGTTCGCTCTACTCGCCAGCGCCCCCTGCGCCTGCACAAAAATTTTCAAGCTATGATTGACGAGGGAAACTGTTACCTCGTTTTCAACGTTGTCAGAACTGTTGATTCGTGTGGCGGGAATGTGTCCGCGCTTCTGAAATTACAGGATGGTTTGGACTCCACTCACAACGCATTCGTTTCTAGGTACGGTAGTCATTTTTGAACCTAGATACGTGCGTTGGCACGAAAAATCCCGAAATGAACGAACTGGACACGCCCCTAAAACTAGTGATCTCAGTCATCGAGTGATTTCACCTCCATTCACCCCATTGTCACTCACCAATCACTCAGCTGCCCACCTTGGTAGCACGACACCGTTCACCGCACAGTGTCTCTCCCCAATTCCGTGAAAATGTCTGCCATCTTCGCAAATGCCCAGGCGTGCGTCGCCGTCGCGCAAGGCGCGCGCGAGCAGCTCAGCAGCCAACCAGCTGGCCTCCCGGAGCGCGCAGGTCGGCCTGAACGCCGCGCTCGTGCCAAGCCTCACCCCTGTCTCGCCGCTGAAGCGAGCGGCTCGGCGGTCTTCGGGCACTACGAGATGCTCCGCCGCGCCTCAAGCTCCCAGGTGAGCGGCTAGCCTATGTACGATATTTTCCGCCGACATGTATTCTGCTTGCCGACGTTGACTCGATTCGTATTGTCATCCGAATAACGTCCGCATCTTTCGCGTGTCATCTCCCTTCCATCGCTCGCCGCAGCGCGGCCAAGGAGGTGGCGGAGGAGGGGAGCGGCAGCAAGGGCTTCGGCGTCTTCCGCCTCACGTACGACCTCAAGGAGGTGAGCCCGCCGCCGCCAACGCCGCCGCCACCGGTGACGCACTGGCGATTTCCAGCTCGCCGCGAGAGCTGACGAAATGGCTTAGAATCGTAATAGTACACAGAACATTGTCATGCCGATTTTTCAGACGCCTCAACGGTCGTTTCTTTACTGTGAATCATGTACACAAAGCGTCCGTGTCGTTCTTGCATCGTGATTTCGCGCCGCGCCTTGGCCCCGTTTCTCGTTCCCTGCTGTTCGACGTCGCTCGCTCGTGCCTCACCTCAGATCCGCTCTTACACACCGCCCGTTGCTCCCTCGTTGCGCGTGCTCACCACCCCAGGAGGAGCACGAGCGGCGCAACTGGAACAAGACGATCCGCGTGGCGGTATCGGGCGCGGCGGGCATGATCTCCAACCACTTCCTCTTCAAGGTACGCGCCCGCGCTTGCTTATTTTCTCATCGAGCCAACGGTTGGTACCCCCTGTTGCCATCAGCCGTCGCATTTGGCGTTGCGCCTCGGTTGCTGCGCCCAAGGACTCGCCCTCCTCCCAGTCGTCGTCTCGAATTGTCCCTGTACCCCTTACAGCTTCGCTCCTTACACCTCTTCTAGTCCAGTCTACCCCTTCTTGATTCGCCTGTAACCTCTTTTCATCCCTGCTACTTAACCCTTTAATCCACCTGCCTCTCCCCTTTTTTTTTTGTTTTTTTTCCTCCCCTCAATTCGCTACCAGTTGGCATCAGGAGAAGTATTTGGTCCGAACCAGCCCGTGGGCCATCAACATGCTCGGTTCTGAGCGGGTCCAAGGAGGCGCTGGAAGGTGAGACGAGGCATGAGTGTGAGGTATGGGTGTGCAAAAGGAGTGTGAGATGCAGATTTGCAACAAGGGGTGAGAGGCTGATGGGAGGTGTGCGAAGGGTGGGTGTGCTCTCGTGTAGCCATGCCGCTGGCTGCTCGTGCGAGATGGCCTCAAGATAGAAAAGGCTTCTTGAAAACGTTTGTTTTGTGCCCTCCAACGGTCTTCCGAACCAGCCTAGCACCACACCACACCTACCACCCCCCTCCCTTGCATCGAATCATCAACCCCCTTCCTCCCGTGCATCATCACACCCCGCTGACGTAGCTCGAGCTGCGCCCCCCTGTGGTGCCCCCTATGATGCTCTCATTGCACGTCCCTATTCCCCCCACTACCACCAGGAGTGGCGATGGAGCTGGAAGATTCGCTCTTCCCGCTGCTGCGCGAGGTGAGCATCAGCATCGACGCGCGCACCGCCTTTGCTGACGTGGACTGGGCGCTGCTCATCGGCGCCAAGCCACGCGCGGCCCGGCATGGAGCGCGCCGACCTGCTCGACATCAACGGCCAGATCTTCGCAGAGCAGGTGCGGATTGAATGTGGTCCGTTGGATCTTGAACGTTTGAGTGGTTCGGCTGAGACGGCCCACGTGGGGTTGGGAAAGAAGGTGCTCTGCTGTGGGGGAGTATTGATGGGCACACCAGCTTGGGCATCTTGTGAAATGTTTCACTGTTGCGGTGATTCACCCTGAACTCTGCACATGCATGCCTGCCTGCTTGCTGCGTGCTTTCTTTGTGTGCTTGCTGCCTGCCCCTCTTGCTGCCTGCCCCTCTTGCTGCCTGCCGCTATCTGCGCGCCTTGTGTATGTCGCCACGCCACACAGGGACGGGCGCTGAACGATGTGGCCAACCCCAACGTGAAGGTCATCGTCGTCGGCAACCCCTGCAATACCAATGTGAGTCCTTTCCCAGCCCCGTTAAGCCAAAAAAATCGTGTTTGAGACGTCTTGAAACAATTTAGTCATCGTCGTTGGCAACCCCTGCAACACCAAGTGAGCGCTCCTTGCGATCCAGCCTTCTCAACGCCCGCGCTTTGGTTCTGAGTTGGCTTTAAACCGGCGGGATATTGAAGGAATGGTCTGGTCTGGAACTTTGATTTAGCCAAGTCTGCCTAAAACGAGGTGTTGCCGTGCATCACTGCTTGCCTGCCTGCCCTGCGTGCGCGTCTGCCGTGCTTGCAGTGCGCTCATCCTGCCTCAAGAACGCGCCCAAGCTGAACCCCAGGAACTTCCACGCGCTCACCAAGCTGGATGAGAACCGCCGCCAAGTGCCAGGTATGTGCGTGAGGGTTGGCTGCTCTGGGGGCTGCTGTGTGCGCCTAGTGCCAGGTATGTTGCGTGAGGGTTGGCTGCTCTGGGGGCTGCTGTGTGCGCCTAGTGCCAGGTATGTGCGTGAGGGTTGGCTGCTCTGGGGGCTGCTGTGTGCGCCTAGTGCCAGGTATGTGCGTGAGGGTTGGCTGCTCTGGGGGCTGCTGTGTGCGCCTAGTGCCAGGTATGTGCGTGAGGGTTGGCTGCTCTGGGGTGCTGTGTGCGCCTAGTGCCAGGTATGTGCGTGAGGGTTGGCTGCTCTGGGGGCTGCTGTGTGCGCCTAGTGCCAGGTATGTGCGTGAGGGTTGGCTGCTCTGGGGGCTGCTGTGTGCGCCTAGTGCCAGGTATGTGCGTGAGGGTTTGCTGCTCTGGGGGCTGCTGTGTGCGCCTAGTGCCAGGTATGTGCGTGAGGGTTGGCTGCTCTGGGGGCTGCTGTGTGCGCCTAGTGCCAGGTATGTGCGTGAGGGGTTGGCTGCTCTGGGGGCTGCTGTGTGCGCCAAGTGCCAGGTATGTGCTGGAGGGTTGGCTGCTCTGGGGGCTGCTGTGTGCGCCAAGTGCCAGGTATGTGCGTGAGGGTTGGCGCTCTGGGGGCTGCTAGTGTTGCGCCTAGTGCCAGGTATGTGCGTGAGGGTTGGCTGCTCTGGGGGCTGCTGTGTGCGCCTCAGTGCCAGGTATGTGCGTGAGGGTTGGCTGCTCTGGGGGCTGCTGTGTGCGCCTAGTGCCAGGTATGTGCGTGAGGGTTGGCTGCTCTGGGGGCTGCTGTGTGCGCCTAGTGCCAGGTATGTGCGTGAGGGTTGGCTGCTCTGGGGGCTGCTGTGTGCGCCCTAGTGCCAGGTATGTGCGTGAGGGTTGGCTGCTCTGGGGGCTGCTGTGTGCGCCTAGTGCCAGGTATGTGCGTGAGGGTTGGCTGCTCTGGGGGCTGCTGTGTGCGCCTAGTGCCAGGTATGTGCGTGAGGGTTGCTGCTCTGGGGGCTGCTGTGTGCGCCTAGTGCCAGGTATGTGCGTGAGGGTTGGCTGCTCTGGGGGCTGCTGTGTTGCGCCAAGTGCCAGGTATGTGCGTGAGGGTTGGCTGCTCTGGGGGCTGCTGTGTGCGCCAAGTGCCAGGTATGTGCGTGAGGGTTGGCTGCTCTGGGGGCTGCTGTGTGCGCCTAGTGCCAGGTATGTCAGTGAGGGTTGGCTGCTCTGGGGGCTGCTGTGTGCGCCTAGTGCCAGGTATGTGCGTGAGGGTTGGCTGCTCTGGGGGCTGCTGTGTGCGCCTAGTGCCAGGTATGTGCGTGAGGGTTGGCTGCTCTGGGGGCTGCTGTGTGCGCCTAGTGCCAGGTATGTGCGTGAGGGTTGGCTGCTCTGGGGGCTGCTGTGTGCGCCTAGTGCCAGGTATGTGCGTGAGGGTTGGCTGCTCTGGGGGCTGCTGTGTGCGCCAAGTGCCAGGTATGTGCGTGAGGGTTGGCTGCTCTGGGGGCTGCTGTGTGCGCCTAGTGCCAGGTGCGGTGCGCCCAGTGCCAGGTGCGTGCGCCCAGTGCCAGGTGCGTGCTTCGTGAACGCCGCTTGTTCGCATTCCTTTCCATCGTCCTCTCCCTGCTGCATGCTTCATGTCTGTTCAAGTCAGTTCGCGTCTCTCCATGCCCGCTCCTGTGGGCGCTCATGTGTGGGTGTGGGTGTGTGTGTGTGTGGGTGTGTGTGTGTGTGGGTGTGTGGGTGTGTGTGGGTGGGTGTGGGTGTGTGTGATGACAGCTAGCGCTCAAGGCGGGGGTGTTTTACGACAAGATATCAAACATGACCATCTGGGCAACCACTCCACCACCATGGTGAGACACTCCACGCTCCATCGGAGCCATACTGACCACACCACACCACAGCCACACCACACCACACCACACCACACCACACCATACCGTCATGGGGACACCATCACCATACTGATCTTCTCCTCTGCCTCTTCCTCCGCTTCTCTCTCTATCGCCACCTTCCCTAATATTTCTCTCCCCTTCTCCGTTTCGTTTCGCCCCTGTTCTCTTCGCTTCTCTCCTTCTCTCCTTCACTTTGCTTGTGTTTCACACCCAGATCTCCTCTCACTCTGAGGGTTTAGGGTTTTCTCACTGGGTTTCCCCCCTGCTTATCTTTTTCTGCCCGTCCCTCTCACCTTCCCCACCTCCTCTCCCCACCAGGTACCAGACTTTGTGAATGCGCGCATTCTGGGCTTCCCAGCAACGGACGTCATTGGCGACCGCAAGTGGCTGGAGGAGCAGTTCACGCCGCAAGTGCAGACGGTGCGTGGTGGGGTGAGGTGCATGGGTGGGCGGGTGGGGTAGGGAGGTTAGGGCTGAGAGTGCCGTGGTGTGGGGGAGTGACACATGGGTGACGCATCACCGGCAGTGGCTGGAGCAGCAATTCATGCTGCAATGAGCAATGCAGACAGTGGGCGTGATTGAGGCTGTGACGCAATGTGTGTCCGCAATGTGTGTGTCATCTGCGCCAAGCCTGTCACCCGCTCCCAGCAATAACCTCCGCTTACACCCGCAGGAAGTCGGCATGTGATATGCGTGAAGCTTGTCAACTGTCCCGGCTGTCCCGGCACGTCTTCTCCTTTCCTCCTGTCACGCATGTCCGAGGAGGTGCTGTCACGCATGTCCGAGGAGGTGCTGTCACGCATGTCCGAGGAGGTGCTGTCACGCATGTCCGAGGAGGTGCTGTCACGCATGTCCGAGGAGGTGCTGTCACGCGTGTCCGAGGAGGTGCTGTCACGCGTGTCCGAGGAGGTGCTGTCACGCTTGGCACCCACTTCCCTGTCACGCGTCCACTCACCTCCTCCCTCCTTACCCTTCTGCGTGCAGCATAGCAGTCCGCGCCATCAGAGCGCTCACTCCTTCCCTCTCCCCTGCTCATCTCCTCTCCCCATCCCCACTCCTCTCCCTCTGGTTTCAGCGTGGTGGCGCGTTGATCAAGAAGTGGGGTCAGCCGGGTCGCGGGTGGACGCTACCAGGGCGCTCACCCTCCCTCTCTACCCCTTCAACTCTTCCCCCACCCTCTGGCTACAGCGTGGTGGCGCCTTGATCAAGAAGTGGGGGCGCTTGTCAGCTGCCTCAACGGCCGTGTCGCTGGTGGACGCCATCAGGGCGCTCACCATCCCCTCCTCCCTCCCCCTTTACTCATCCCCTGTCCCACTTGTTACAGCGTGGTGGCGCGCTGATCAAGAAGTGGGGGCGCTCCTCAGCAGCGTCAACAGCAGTGTCGCTGGTGGACGCCATCAGGGCGCTCACCACGCCCACGCCTGAGGGCGACTGGTTCTCAACGGGCGTGTACACCAAGGGGAACACCTATGGCATCGATGATGACCTCATCTTCAGCCTGCCCTGCCGCTCCAAGGTGCGATGACTGTGGTGGCTGTGGTGGCTGTGGTGGCTGTGGTGGCTGAGGTGGCTGAGGTGGCTGAGGTGGCTGAGGCAAGGAGAGTGAGGCGAAAGGAACAAGGTTGGAGGCGAGGTTGGAGGTAAGGCAGCGGGGCAGCGGGTGAGTGTTGTGAGGTATGTGAGGTGAGGGAGGCGAGCAGGTGACGGCCTGCGTGGCACACCACCATCCCCACTGCTGCATCGGATGGCCGGTCCTGCTCACGGGTGTGCTCTCAGGGACAGAGGAGCACGCCCCATCATGCCTCTCTTGCCTCCTGTTTTCTTCTCCTGTTTTCGTCTCAGGGGGGAGCAAGCTGGAAACAGCGATGGCGACCCAGGCAGCTGCAATGCAGGCGGCCTGTCGTCCGCTTATTCCCATTCTGCACGTCACTTCACTCCAATTTCCCTCCTCCTTTTTCCCCCTACCATGCCTTCCTCCCCACCTTCCCCTGCACGCCATTCCCCGTGTGTGGCTGGCAGGGCGACGGGGACTACGAGGTGGTGTCTGGTCTCATAGTGGACGATTACCTGCGTGCTCGCATCAACAAGGTGAGGGGGGAGGGGGGTTGGGGGAGGGGAAGGGGGAGGAGGAGGGGGAGGGGAGGGGGGTTGATCATGAGGTGGTGTCTGGTCTCATAGTGGACGATTACCTGCGCGCTCGCATCAACAAGGTGAGAGGGGAGGGGGAGAAAATGGAGAGAGGGGGGGGAGTGGGGGCGGGGTGATGGAGGTGGTGGTGGTGAGAGAGAGTGAGGTGGTGGTGGTGAGAGAGAGTGAGGGGTGGTGGTGAGAGAGAGTGAGGTGGTGGTGGTGAGAGAGAGTGAGGTGGTGGTGGTGAGAGAGAGTGAGGTGGTGGTGGTTAGAGAGAGTGAGGTGGTGGTGGTTAGAGAGAGTGAGGTGGTGGTGGTTAGAGAGAGTGAGGTGGTGGTGGTTAGAGAGAGTGAGGTGGTGGTGGTTAGAGAGAGTGAGGTGGTGGTGGTTAGAGAGAGTGAGGTGGTGGTGGTTAGAGAGAGTGAGGTGGTGGTGGTTAGAGAGTGAGGTGGTGGTGGTTAGAGAGAGTGAGGTGGTGGTGGTTAGAGAGAGTGAGGTGGTGGTGGTGAGAGAGAGTGAGGTGGTGGTGGTGAGAGAGAGTGAGGTGGTGGTGGTGAGAGAGAGTGAGGTGGTGGTGGTGAGAGAGAGTGAGGTGGTGGTGGTGAGAGAGAGTGAGGTGGTGGTGGTGAGAGAGAGTGAGGTGGTGGTGGTGAGAGAGAGTGAGGTGGTGGTGGTGAGAGAGAGTGAGGTGGTGGTGGTGAGAGAGAGTGAGGTGGTGGTGGTGAGAGAGAGTGAGGTGGTGGTGGTGAGAGAGAGTGAGGTGGTGGTGGAGTGAGGTGGTGGTGGTGAGAGAGAGTGAGGTGGTGGTGGTTAGAGAGAGTGAGGTGGTTGGTGGTTAGAGAGAGTGAGGTGGTGGTGGTTAGAGAGAGTGAGGTGGTGGTGGTTAGAGAGAGTGAGGTGGTGGTGGTTAGAGAGAGTGAGGTGGTGGTGGTTAGAGAGAGTGAGGTGGTGGTGGTTAGAGAGAGTGAGGTGGTGGTGGTTAGAGAGTGACCTCGCAAAGGCTTCTAGTGGATGAGTACCTACACGCTCGCATCAAGAAGATGAGACGGCGGGCGTGAAGTATGAAGAAGGTGAAGGGGTTGACGGGAGGGAGGTGGTGGTGGTGGTGGTGGTGGTGGTGAGAGACAGTGAGAGACCTCACAAAGGCGTCTAGTGAATGAGATGGCTGGCTACCTGCTCGCGTCAAGAAGGCGAGATGAAGGGAGTGAAGAAGAATGGAGAAGGTGAGAGGGGTGCAGGGAGGGAGGTGCTGCTTGTGGTGGTGGTGAGAGGGTTACTGTGCAGTAAGGGATTTCAGGACATGTAGCAACATTTGAGGGTGAAGGGAGAGGGAAATAGCTATTTCTTTCTCATCCTTCATCCCCTTATTGCACAGTCTACAAGCTATTCCTTGCTCGTCCCAATCCACGCCTCTCGCTGAACCCCTCTCTACCACGCCTCACCCCTCTCCCTCCATGCTATCCCGGCATCCCCCTGCCATGCAGACGGAGGACGAGCTACTGGCGGAGAAGAAGTGTGTGTCTCACCTCATCGGCCTCGTAAGTCCCGCTCCTCCCTGCACTGCTGCACTGCCGCACTTCTCCCCACACCGCACGCATGCTGCTGCTTCTAACTGCCAGCCCGCCAACCAGCCTGCTGTTTCAGTCTGTGTCGATCTGTCCCGGTCTTGGTCACTCCAGCTTGCGCGGCCCGTTTCCTGCTTATGCTGTTGCACCGTGCAGTCAAGTGGTGGAGATCCATGCACACATGCACGCACACATACCGTATGCATGCATTGACGTCTGCATGCATTGACGTCTGCATGCATTGAAGTCTGCATGCATTGACGTCTGCATGCATTGATGTCTGCATGCTCACACACGGTACCTCCCCCATGCCTTCACTGCCCCACCATGGCAGGACAATGGCTACTGTGACCTACCGGAGGGCGACACCATGCTGCCTGGAGAGCAATGATTGCGGCCGGGCAGCATTGTTTGTCTTGTACAGCGCTCTTTGTTGTGCAGCACTCACTGCCTTGTACGATATCAGCTCTTACAGTACGGTACCGGTATCATTCATTTAGACATGGCTAGCAAGGAGGTTCAGCTTTCCTGCTCTACAGTATATCAATTACCTTGCTGCTAATTGTATAATAATATTATGGATCAGACTTCCGTTATTATCTACTGTACTGATTATTCTCTACTGGCAATTCTCATCAAATGGTAATTTCCATGGACATGCGCTTGAAAGCACAAACATGTAAGTCACGAATTCATGTCAGCCTTACATCTTACAGTACCGGTACCTGCCTACTGCTGGTAACGTACGGTAATGGTACGGTACTAAGCATATGCAAGTGTACTTTAAGGTCTTCCTTTCCACAACTCTGGAATGAACAGCCAGATGGCAATTCATGCTTGCTTAGTAGTCTACATAGAGTGTTAAGCAGTGAGAGGTCAGCAGTCAGTTCCTGGTGCAAACGCTAGCTTGAAAATCACACCAGGGGGCACAGAAATCACAATCGCCGTGTCATTGATACGTTACACCGGCAGCAGCACAAGGAGATGATGGCATGGCGTCTGACTCATACCACCGGTCTCCACCACACCTCCCTCCCCGCAAGGCACATGGTGCACAGAAGAACGGTGTATGCGGAGTGGCATGGCATGGCACTGCGTCCAGCAGCTGAGAGGATCAACGATCCTGCAGCTCCGAATTTCACGCTACTGGCTGAGAGGATCAACGGTCAGGGGGGATTCATGACCTGTGGAAGTCCATGACTGGCTGGCCGCCTGACGGCCAAAAACCACCTGACGGCCTAACCACCTGTCAGCTCAGCGGTGATTTAGACGGCCCGCTGGTTAGCAGATCGCTGATGGCCGGCTGATGAGGCTAATCAGCACTGGCGGCAACGGTGGGGTCACTTCAGTTGCTCAAGCGCTCTGCTGCGACTCGTGTTCGACCACCTCGCGCGACGACTGGCAGACGGCTTCTTTGTCTGCGACCGACGCCTTCGGAGAGGTAAATGAGACGCGCGACAACGGCGACGTGCGCCGACCGGCGGCTTACGACAACGGGCGCCGGGCGGCAGCCGGGGATGGCTCAGCCGTCACTGGCCGTAACTGCGGAGCCTTCCGACAGAAGCGCTAGTGCTTCTCGCACTACGCGCCGCGTGGCGTACCGCGGGCCCAGCGCGAACACGGGGTCTGCGCCCTCCATTTCCGCCACCGCCGCCACAAATTCCTCCGCCGGCCCCCGCTGTGCGCAACCGCCGCGCGATTTTCCGCCCATCCCTCTGTTTCTACGCAGCAGCGCGGAGCCCACACCGCTGTTGCATTCCGCCCACTCTTCCGCTTCCTCCGCATCATCCCCTCTTTCGTTTAGGACGCCTTCTGCTTCCCCCGTGTCGTCTTCCGCCTCCGGAATGGCGCAGAGAGCGGGCGGCGGGCCCGACTCTACCAGCAGCTGAACCAGCGCCAGCCGCACGAGCTCGCGCTCCCGCTCCGCCACCACTGCTGCTAGCCCAGGATCGCGCTCCTGGTTCCCCTTCCGTGCGGAGCGAATCTCACGAATCAGCTGCTCCGCGGTGCACGGCGCCTTGCCCTGCACGCGCTCCTCGAGCGGCACGAGTGTCTTTAATCTCTGTCGGATGTGGCGTGCCCAGCGGACGCGACGCGCCTCTGCAGATTCCTTCGGCGGAAAATGCCAGTGCTGCTGCGCGTCGTCGTCCTCGTCCCAGGGGTTCAAGTAGGACGTGAAGAGGCTGACGAAAACCGCGAGGCCCGTCGCGGAGCTGACGACGAGCGAGATGGGATCGGGCGATACGAACAGCATGATGGAATATGGTACTGAAGGCCAAACAACACGAAAAAATGACACGAGGGCTACTCGGGATATTCGAGAATTGTGTACGAAGACAAATGGAGTTGAGTGATTATTGGTGATATTAATCTGCTATGCTGGATGGAGTGGACCAGGGCTACGTGCGCGGCTGATGGTGGTGGCGGGGCGGGCGTGTCAAGTCAGTGTGCAGTGCGCAATCTGAAAGCCTGTGCACAGCTGTCGGCGACGCGCGTGAGGCCAGGCGACAGCGAAACGGCGCAGATGTTTTTTCTTCCGCCACATTGCGTTTCGGAAAGGGGCTACCCTGCCCCCATTCTAGTGTTCGGTCGCGTACTTTTCGCACCGATCGCCTGCTCGCTGCCGAATGCAGACGATTTGTTGCAAATGGGCAGGCACTTCCAAGGGAAGCAAAAACGTATGCGGGGAATGATTGGGGAAGGCTGGGGAAGGCCAGGAAGCGGAATGGGGAAACAACATTTGCCATGTTCCCCGCCGAACCCGACCGAAACCATGCGCGGCGTGCCACGCGTTCGGTAACCTGAAGTACTGTAGCATAGGCTTGGTGTTGCTGCTGGTTCGGGAGATGTGAGACGGGGCCGAGTCGCTGATACATGGGTGTTCAGTTTGCTGACGACATTGATTGAGCCGATTGGAGCGTGCTAGCTGACCCAATCAAAAGTCAGCGATGACGCACCGCATGCTGATCTGGTCTGGTCTGGAGTGGTGACAAGCTTGTGCGTTTCCGTTTCAGGTAGGCAAGGGAGTGGCACCAGGTGATGGTAACACCCAGCTCAGGTGGTTCCGTTTCTGTACGCTCTGCAATGGCAATCGCAGCACCAATCAATCATACACCTTACGCATGAAGCGAACATACGCATAATTAGCAGCTGAGTACACAGGTAAATGCACTAAATGGTGCAACAATTAATCACCCTTACAGAAGGAAAGCGGAAACATTTTCATACGCCTATTTGGACTACCTAGGTTAGCGTATTACTACCTAAACTCAGTATACCCATAGCTACTTCCGTATCCGCTTGCACCAAACCCAGTCGGCAAGTTATACGGGCTACTATTGTTCCCACCAGGTCCTCCTATGGTACTCCGACCTGCTCCCTGCACCACTGTGTTACCCGGTTGGGCAGATGCAGTTATTCTCCCCGACGCATCGCTTTGCGGTTGCAGGAGGGCCGACTGGGAAGAATCGTTGACAAGGGAGGAATCGCGTGGGAAGGACGGGTCGTACGGCAATGATTGGTCTCGAGGCATTGAGGCATCCCGAGCCAAAGCCTCGGTTTCTGGGGCTTGGGTGTGCGCGTGTGATTGATCGGGAGGAGCGAGAGGGTCGGAGGTGGGTGGGGCTGTGTATTGCGCGAATGAGTATGGTGGTGGGGGAGGGTAAGGGTGGGATGAGCTTTGGGGGTAGGGTTGGGAGCTTTGGGAGTAGGGTTGGGAGGAGGACTGCTGTAAGGCATGATGGGTCGCTGCCGAGCCTGCGGCGTAGGCTAGGACTGGAGGTCCCACCATGACGGAGGATAGGGCTGGGTCGTCCTGTTGCTTGTACATACTGCAGGGTGCAGGGGTGGTGGCGAAAGGGAAAGGGTATTCAGGCAAGTGGAACAGACAAGTGGAGGAGAAAGGTGTGATGTATGAAGGCCACGGTTGGGTGCAGGAATGAGCACAGGGCAGAGGAGGATTGATAAATGGAAGGTTGAAGAGATACACGTTGTTGGGGGTGGGGGAGGGGTGTTCGTCGAGAGGAGTTAGTAAAAAAAGGGAGGCCATGGGGATGATGCGTGGGAGAGATAGTCATGGGAGGATGGATGGCTGGGGATGTGTGCATGGGTGGAAACTGATGGGGATATGGATTGAGGAAGCTTGGCTCATGCGTGAATTGGGTGTTATGCGGATGTGGTGCGCCATTGCGGGCACACCACATCCCCTTACCCTCTCACCTGTCGTCACCTGTACCTCCATCGGGCAGGCAGCGCATGGCACGCAAGACGGAGAGACAACCAACTCCACGCCCCCTCTCTCTCCCCATCCTCCCATCCTCCCAGCACCTCACCTATCATCATCGCCCTTGCCTCCATCAGGCAGGCAGCGCATGGCACGGAAGACGGAGAGACAACCAAATCCACGCCCCCTCTCTCTCCCCATCCTCCCATCCTCCCAGCACCTCACCTATCATCATCGCCCTTGCCTCCATCGGGCAGGCAGCGCATGGCACGGAAGACGGAGAGACAACCAACTCCACCCCCCCTCTCTCTCCCCATCCTCCCATCCTCCCAGCACCTCACCTATCATCATCGCCCTTGCCTCCATCGGGCAGGCAGCGCATGGCACGGAAGACGGAGAGACAGCACCACCCCCACCTCCCTCCCCCCCCCTAGCACCTAACACCTGCCGCCCTTGTCCTCTCACCTGTCGGCACCCTTGCCCCCATCGGGCAGGCAGCGCATGGCACGGAAGACATAGAGGGGAGCCGCCACGGCCACCACCATGGCTCCCACAGCCAGCACCATGGCTCCCGTCCACAGCAGCACTGCTGCACTCTGCACTCCTGTTGCTGCCCCTCCCACGTACTGGTGGTGTGAGGGGGGATGGGAGTGGAATGATAGAGAGGGGGAGCATGAGTTGTGTCAGCATGGCCATCCACAATGCTGAGACCGATGCTCCCAGGGTCAGCACCATGGCGCCACACCACAGTGGCACTGATGCACTCTATACTCCCGATGCTGCCCCTCCTACGTACTGGTTGTGCTAAAGGTGGTGGTGAGGAGTGGGGAGAAAGGGCTGATAGAGAGGTGAGGGTGAGTCCAGTCAGCCACTTATGTCCCGCAAAGCTCACCTCCTACTGCACTTCCCATCCGCCACTTCCCATCCGCCACTTCCCATCCGCCACTTCCCATCCGCCACTTCCCATCCGCCACTTCCCATCCGCCACTTCCCATCCGCCACTTCCCATCCGCCACTTCCCATCCGCCACTTCCCATCCGCCACTTCCCATCCGCCACTTCCCATCCGCCACTTCCCATCCGCCACTTCCCATCCGCCACTTCCCATCCGCCACTTCCCATCCGCCACTTCCCATCCGCCACTTCCCATCCGCCACTTCCCATCCGCCACTTCCCATCCGCCACTTCCCATCCGCCATTGCCCATCCGCCACTTCCCATCCGCCACTGCCCAACCCCCACCCTGTCCACCCCCCACTGCCCACCGCTTCTCCTACCGTCCACCGCCTTGGCGACATTTGTCACCTACTCCCCACCCTTACTCCCAACCTCCCCTACTGTCCACAACCCCTCCCATCCCTCCCCACCCCCTGCTCACCCTGGCAACACTGGAGACGTGAGAGCAGTTGGAGAGGGCGGCCACGAGCGGCACGGAGCCATCCAGGCGGTCAACGGAGATCCATGCGAGGCGCACGTCTTTGGCCACTGCTGCTGGCATCATGTCCAATGGCAGCTTCCCATCCTTGCCCCTGGGGCAGCCTAAGTCTGGACAGGTGACCTCTGGGAGCAGCTGTGGGCGTTGGAGAAGGGGGCGTGTGGATGGGGGTGGAGAGAAGTGGAGGGCGGAGGGGGAGTGAGAAGTGAGAAAGGGGACACAGCCACTAGCGGCACGGGGCGGTCAACGGAGATCCATGCGAGGCGCTCGTCCCTCGCCTCTGCTGCTGGCATCATGTCCAATGGCGGCTTCCCATCCTTGCCCCTGGGGCAGCCCGCGTCCGGACAGGTGACCTCGGGGAGCAGCTGTGGAGAAAAGGGTGGTAGAGGTGTGGAGGTGTGAAGAAGGTGGGAGTGAATGGGGATGGCGCATCCCTCGCCACTGCTGCTGGCACCATGGCAATGGCAATGGCAATGGCAATGGCAATGGCAATGGCAATGGCGGCTTCCCATCCCTTGGGACAGCCTGCGTCCAGACAGGTGACCTCCAGGAGCAGCTGTGGCGTGTGGGGGAATGGGAGGTGGGGGGGAGGGGGTAGGAGAGGAGAGTCACGTGGAGGGGAGAGGGAAGTGGGGAGAGGGAAGTGGGGAGAGGGAAGTGGGGAGAGGGGGGCAGGCACAGCCACTAGCGGCACGGCACCGTCCATGGTTGGTCCAGGCACAGCACGGCACAGCACAACACAGCACAGCACAGCACAGCACAACACAGCACAGCACAGCACGGCACAACACAGCACAGCACGGCACGGCACGGCACGGCATGGTACGGCACGGCACGGCACGGCACGGCACGGCATGGCACGGCACTGTCCATGGTTGGTCCAGGCAGCAGGCCTGTCTGCTTGAGTCTGCATAGAAGCTTCCTAGCTATGCCCATTTTACCTCCTATATGTAGCAGCTCACTCCCTTGTACATTAGCAGGTACTTGCGCACATTTTCCTCCCAACTCTGCCCAATTTCCTGCTAATCTTGCCCACCTACCTCCTACATCTGCCCACTCGTGACTTAAAGCCCATTCGTGTGCTCACGTCTTTCAACTGGCGGAAGGAGATGGAGTTGGGCGGGCAGGCAGTGTCGTTGTAGAGATAGTCAGGGCCCGGGCCAAAGGGCGAGCAGATGCCTGCTGTCGCGTTCAGACGCGGGAAGACCTGGTGGTGGGGGGGGAGGAGAAGAGGGGGGAGAGGGGGAAGATGGGGGAGAGGCGGAAAAGAGGAGAAGGGGGGGGGGGGGGAGTTGGGGGTGTGGAAGGGGGAAAAGAGGGGCAAGGCAGGCAGTGTCGTTGTACAGATAATCAGGGGGCCCAGGCCGAAGGGCGAGCAGATGCCTGCTGACGCGTTCAGACGCGGGAAGAGTGGAAAAAGGGGGGAAAGGGTTAGAAGAGGAATAGAAAATTGGCGAGAAAGGCGGTAGGGGTGTGAGGGAGAGGGGGAGGGTGAACAGTGTTCTACTTGGGGGCGCGTGACATGAGTGTTTTACCTACCTTGGGGTAGGTGGTTTGAAGATTCGCGTTGGTGAAGGTGATGACGTCATAGGCAGCAAAGCGGGCAAATCTAGCCGCGTCGCCGAGCTTGGTGGCGTTGAGGCACGGTACCCAGCGGCTGAATGCGGTGTTGAGGGATGGGTACAGCGTGACTTCCTTCACTGCTGATTCTGTGTCTGTGCTGACGCTGAGGAGAAGAGGGAGGGGGGATGAGTAAGCAGAGGGGAGGGGAGGGTGTGCAGTGGTTGAGGCCTGTAACAAAGGGGTTGAATGCGGTGCCAGCGGATGGGTACAGCGTGACTTCCTTGACTGCTGATTCTGTGTCTGTGCTGACGCCGAGGAGAAAAAGGGGAGAGGGAGGGAAGGGGGGGATGAGGATGCAGAGGGAAGGGGAGGGTGTGCTGTGATTGAGGCCTGCTACAAAGGGGTTGAATGCGGTGCTGAGGGATGGGTACAGCGTCACTTCCTTCACTGCTGATTCTGTGTCTGCGCTGAGCTGAGGAAAAGAAGGAGGGTAGTGGAGAGGAGGGGGGATGGGGGAAAGGGAAGGGTGGGGGAGAGTGGGGATGAGGGTGGGACACTAGGTGAGAAAGGCCGTGGGTGGTGAGTGGAATGTCATGGGAGAGAGAGATTGGGCGCTCGTGCTAGTACCAAGTGAGGGGGACGGCAATGATGCACGAGGTGAGGACGGCTGTGTGGGTTGAGCGGATTCAAGGGAATTCAAGGGATACAAGGATGGCTGGGGCACTCACGTCACAACTGTGAGGGAGACGGCCACAATGCACCAGGTGACCAAGGCTGTGAGGGTTGAGCGGACTCAAGAGAGGTGAGGAGGCAGCTGGGGCTGGGGCACTCACGTGACGACGGTGAGGAAGACAGCCACGATGCACCAGGTGACAAAGGCTGTGACCCACACGAGCGTGCACATGCTGTTAGGGCACAGGAGAAGAGGGGAACAGAGGAGAGTGCGGTGGAGGGGAGGGTGGTGGGGAGAGGACACAGAGTGAAGATCGTTGGATGGCATGATCACATGTGACATGACATGTGGGATGGCATGTGGGATGGCATGTGCGATGGCATGTGGGATGGCATGTGCGATGGCATGTGGGATGGCATGTGGGATGGTATGTGAGATGGCACGTGTGGTGGTGGCATGTGCGGTGGCATGTGAGATGGCATGTATGGTGTCATGAGTGGTGGCATGTGAGATGGCATGTATGGTGTCATGAGTGGTGGCATGTGTGACAGCTTGAACTCGGGGGTGTGGCATGTAAGCCATGGGGAATCGGAAGGGGGGAACTTCTGAGGCGCCTCAAAAGTTGGAAAGTGGCATGTGGAAACACGGGGGGTGCCGTGTAAGCTACAGAGTTAAAGTGGCAAGCTGTTAGCGAAGCAGGGAGGTAAGGAGGTAAGGAGATTAGGAGGCAAGGCAGCAGCAGCAGCTTACACGTGAGAGAAGGTGGCCCACTGGAGTATGGCCGCCACTGGTGGGTGGATGGGCATAATGGGGGGGAGGGAAGTGTGACGGAATGAGTGAGGCACGAATGGGCGTGTGTGCGTGTGTGGAAGAGTGCATGTTGCGCGAGCGTTTCTATGCGCACGAGGGTACAGTGGACGGGGAAGGGGAGGGGGCGAGAATGTTTTTTTGGAATGCTCAAGAAACAGATTCAGCGTTTCTATGCGCACGGGGGTACAGTCGACGGGGGAGGGGAGGGGGCGAGGGTGAGAGAGGTGGGAGGGGGTGGGAACCCCAAAGGAGGAAAGAGCGACAGGGAAGAAGAGGGGGGCTGGAGGGGGAGAGAGGAGAAAAAGGAGGAGGTGCGTACCGACAGTGAGAACCACAAAGGCAAAGGCGATGCACCCCACGACGAACACAGTGGTGGACCTGTGGGTGTGGGAGGAGCACGAACGATTAGACGAGATGCCTTATAAACGCCGCGCAATCAAGCAAGGCCTTCACATGCTGTGGCTGTTTTTCCCACTGGAATATCTATTTTGACTCTCCATCACCTCGCTGCCCACTTATTATTTCCCCACTCCGCACCCCCGACTCCCTGCCCCTTCTTCTTCCCCTCTTCCACCGCACCCGCCCCTGTCCCTTCACCCTGCCACCCCCCCTTCCCCTTTCTCCGCCCGACCTTTCCTTCCCCGCCCGCCCTTTCTTGCCCCGCGCTCACATTTTCTTCCCGAAGTCTCGCAGCTCCGAGTCACTGTTCGTTATTTTGTCGTTAAGCTCGAGCGCCGCTGACGTCACCCTCTTGGAGAATTCGAATATCTGCAGCCGCTGCTCCGCTGCAGGGGGGCGCGGGGGAGGGGGGAAGAGCGGAGGAACGGGAGAGTAGGTTAAAGGGGAAGGGGGGTGGGGAAATGAGGGAGGAGGGTGAAGAGGGGGTGGGGGGAGGGGAGGAGAAAAGAAGCGGTGGGGGGTGGGGGGTGGGGGGTGGGGTGGAAAGGGGGAATTGTCGAGGGAACGAGAGGTGGAGAAATCGAGAGACCGCACTCTTGTGGACGAAACCGGAATAGGAGTTCGACAAAAAAGAAGAGCGGCAAGTGAGAGGGGTGAGAGTGCATGCACGATTAAGGAGGGAGTCTCAACAACCGTTGGATGAGGGCGGAGTAAACAAGCGCGTAGGTAAGGGGGAACGGGGAAGGGGGAAGGGGGAACGGGGAAGGGGAACGGGGAACGGGGAACGGGGAACGGGAAAGGGGAAGGGGGAGCGGAACGGGGAACGTACGCTGCAAGAGCTGTTCGTTGATTCGCGTGCCCGCGGTGACCTGGATCGCCGACGCCACGTTGTACACCGCCGTCGTCGTCGCGTTGGTAACCTTAATCGTGTAATCGCCGATTTCGCCCAGCCTGTCGTTCAGCTGCACGCTCCCGGCAATCATCAGGCCGAACCCCGTGCTGGTTACCAACGCGACGACGGTTACAAACCACAGCGGAGGGAGAAGGGAAAATCGTGACTAGGAAATAAGAACAAGGACTGGGGGAAGATGAGAAGCAAGAGGAATAAGGAAAGAGGACAGGGGAAAGGGGACGAGGAAACGCGACGGAGAGAAGAAGGGTGAGGGCACGGCGTGTTTTTTGAGAATTCTCAAAAAGGGCACGGCGACACCAGGGAGCGATTCTCTACATGCTTCCCCCCCCTATCGCGGTCCCAGTCATCCTGCGTTCGGCGAGGTGATTCGTACATTTTACTTCCCAAACATTCCCCCTTCCCGTGTTGCTTTTCAAACGACTCTAAATCGTCGACCGATTCTCTCCCGAGTCAGCTTTCTCACATGACAATCATGCTGCCGACGACGAGCGCGTAAAGCAACAGCGAGATGTTCTGCGGCGAGTACACGTGCGCGGCGGGGTCGCGCATCTCGTCCCAGCGCGCGCGGCAGAAGAGGAAGAGCGACACCAGGAAGAGCACGAAACCCACTCCCAGCAGCAGCCACGCGAAGCCGATCACGGGCGCGTACACCACGGAAAATGTCACGGACTGGTGGGGGTTGTGTGGAGAAGAGGAGGGGCGGGAGTATTGAGTATGTGGGGAGGGTGTGTAGTGTAGGGTGGGGAAAAGGGGAGGTGGGAGAGGAAAGAACACGAAAGCCAGCTGCAGGCACGCGAAACCGAAGTTTATCACCGGCACGTCAATCTTGTTGCCGGTCACACCCCTGAGTGGGGCAGAGAGAGGCAAGGGGGAGCGGGGAGTGGGATGGAGGCAGCGGGGGGAGGACGAGGGGTGGAAGGATGTAGATAGCTGGGGTAACAGTTTTCGACTGAGGGTGGATACATGTCCTAGTGTGTTCAGTTAACCCGAAAAGAAGCAGAGAAAAGGAAAGAACGAGAGCGGGGTTAGAGGGAGGTCAGTAGGGTCGAGTGGTGGGTTGAGACTCTGGAAAAAGGCACGCTATCAAAGACGCGAGGCTGTGTCCGAGAGGAGAGGGAAAGAGAGAGGAATGGGGTCATGAATTCCTTCTGGGTTCTGCCAAAAGCCAAAGAAAAGAGAAACCTTTGTCGCATAGGACGTGATAAGTAAGCGTCACTTACGGCCCAGTAGTCGTCAGACGAAAGGTTCCACCCGCCGATGTAGTACTTGAACTCGTTTATCGGGTTGATGCGACGCGTGCGATCCGTCGCCAGCAGGATTGTCGCATTCGCCAGAACGGAGCCTGTCGCATTGACCACAGTCGAGCCGTCTGGCGACAGAACCGACTGGAGCAGATGTCGCCCGACGCCATGTTGCTGCTGGTGGTAAGCATTGCCGCTCGACTGCCGCTGCGCCTGCTGCGGTTGATAGTACGACTCGTGAAGCTCGATAAGCGATCGCGCGTCTTGCTGTAATCGGAGCAACGCGTCAGGAACATCCGCGTGGCGGTAAGCGGCGGTTTTGACTGCTTCGGCTGTTCTTATTGGCGAGGTGGCGTGAAGGGTGGCTAAGATAAGGAGCAAGAACGGGATTTTGCTACTTCCTAGGCGCTTGGATGCTGAAGAAAGGCGACTGCACGAGGAATTTAGAGAATGGGGATGCATATTGGCTGGTAGCTTTTGAGAAGAACGCGAGAAAGGTATCAGCATGCTCTTTTTCGACTGCTGCCACTACGAGACGGTTCCACGCAAGGCACATACACCGGTCTAGCGAGTAGAACGTAAGAATAGGTGGAGGGCTAGCAGGAAGACTGGCAAAATGCACGTCCTTTCTAGTTTGAGTCGAAAGGCATGCGAGAAATGCGGTGATGTAACCAACTTCAGTGCTCGACGCTAATACATCCGACTAATTTAAACGCGGTTTGTCTCTTGAACGAGGCCCAAAAGAAGTCTTATCTGTATTGCACGCAGTTATTTCCAGCTACAGCCCGACTTTGGTTCGACTTCTCAGCTCCCAAAGGAGCTGATGGAAATGGGGCCAAGACAAGCGAGATGCAGCAGCAGCAGAACCGCATTGAGCGACTGGAAAAATGCATTCAAGTGGACGGACGGAACCTGGAGCGTGGCTTGCTGGGTTCGGGGGGGGGGGGATGTTGGAGGCTGGTGTAGGGCTCCTCTGTAAGTTGGAGCAAGGAAACTGGAAAATTGTGAAAGCTTGGAGGGATGCCGACATTCTACGATGGACGGTCTCGATTGGATAAGCATCGCGCACCGACAATCGCGTTCCCGAGCTAGTCCGTTTCAATAAGCTCGGAAGTCTGGCTGGGCCAGAAGCTTGGCACGAACCTCCTCCGATAAAAGCTCGAAAGCGCTGCTGCCCAGTGCCCCGCCGCTAGGCGAAACACGGAGCAAACCACGTTCAGGACGGCTCAGGGCTGGAAGCCGAGTCGCACTGCTTGGTTGGGGCGTGCGGCTTGCTGATGTGGCTCGAAATGTATGGCCGTTTAGTGTGTCTACCAATAGTATGCCCTGGCCTTGTAGCTACGTTCTGAAATTGATATACAGTTGTTCTCATCATTTTTGAGCAATTAGGTTGTACAGCATGCCTTTTGTAAGGAATTTTCTCGATATTCCTTAGCGCACCCTCCAACATCGCGTACAGCAGCAGCCGTTGTTCGCCCGTTACTGCTAACGGGGCTTCGCCGACTTCGCGCGCACTGTTTCACCAAACCTCGCACTGCTGGCCTGGCCGTGTCGGCCTACGCTTCAGGACTAGCCCGAGCCTAGCACTAGCTAGCTCGCACGCACCGCGTTACCGTTTGCATGTTTCGCGTATAAATGTTCGCTCATGCCTTCGCTCACATTTTGTACTCGTTTGACACCTTAGTGCAATCCTCGCTACTTCGATTCATTGCACCCGTAACACTTGGTATTCAGAGCCTCTTTCATTTTCGGACCACGCATCTCCGCACCCCAGGAAATCAACTTTTGGAGCATCTGTCCTCGCATTCTCTCGTAAACGCGTGCAGCCACGACTGCGCCTAGACTAAGACGAGCCGACGCCCTTCGAAATGGCTGAATATATCGACGTCACGACTCTCACGCAGGAGCACTTGAAAGATCTGCTGCAACAAATCCGCGAGAGCGCCGAGGAAATTGCGACACTAACGGCAGAACTCTCGTCCCTGCAAAACGACCTCACACGAGCACAATCCCAAGCACCTGGCACTCCGATTCAGCCCGCACCACATGCATCACAGCATAGAAGTGTGGGGCAACCCGCGAGCGCCGCAAATGATGGGGTCGTCCGCCATGACGGAGACGACGACCACGACATGACACACCCCGACGCGACGAATGCGGCCAGGACTCAGCCTCGAATCACGATTTCGGTGCCGGCTGGCGAATCAGCTCTTCCGTCGCCAATGCCGCTAAAGCCGCAGCGGCCGACATGCTTTGACCCGAGTCAGCGGGATGGTCCTACCGGTCAGGCGTGGCTCTTCACGTTGAACGTTTTCTTCGACACGAACTACGTCTCGGAGGATACGGCTAAGATTCGCTACGCCGTGTCGTTGCTGCGAGGACCCGCCAAGGACTGGTGGCGCGTCATCGTCACAAAGCCTGTGGACTACGCAACTCTACCGACACGGGAAGGAAAAACCGGACCCTGGGCACCGTCGTATTTCGTGGAGGTGCCCCAGTATCGCACGTGGGACGCGTGGTGCGCAGGTCCGCGCGCTCGTTTCGAGCCAATCGCGGCTTCAATCGCGACGCGACAGAAGCTCCGCACTTGGCGCCAACTCGGTTCCGTCCAAGACTACACGAGCGGGTTTCTGGCGCTATGCGAGCAGGTGGGATATATGCACGAGAGCGAGTGCATCGACCGCTACATCGGCGGCCTGAAGCAGGACATCGCTCAGGAAATCCATCTTCGTGGCGTCACCGACTTTCAAGAAATTCTCGCTATGGCGGAGAAACTTGATTTCTTCCGCCGACCAAGACCGGGGTCCTACGGAAGCAGCCATTGGGGACATCGGCCTCGTGGGCGCCACGATACGTGCCGTCGCCGCAAATGCCGCTGCAAAACCATTCAAAGGGCACTGCTTTGCGTGCAATCAACCGGGACATCGCAAGAGCGAATGCCCGGAAAACGCTAAGGGAAAGGGGGGAGCTGAGCAGCAGAAACAGACCAAGCAGCAGGGAAACGCTGGGAGTCAGTAGCAAACGGGCGCTCTACTAACAGGTCACGCTGCTCGCCCGACCCAACCGACCCTCACCGAGTGATTGTGCCGGTTCACGCAATCGACCACACTCGGTCGAATAAGGAGGGGACTACGGTAGACAGCCCCATACTGCTTAGTGGGAAAATTGGGACGGACTTAGTAAAAATCTTCGTAGACGAGGGAGCCAGCCACAGCCTCATCAACACTGCCACAGCACGAAAACTGCGACTGCCACTGGACAGATGTTTACCTGAGATCGACGCAAGACTGGTAGACGGCACGCCGCTGGCGATACGGGAACGCGTAGACCGGGTTCGGATTCGATGTGGGGGTAACTTCACGTTTAGCTAGGAAATGCTAGCAACGACCCTCGACGGAACTGATATTTTGCTCGGGCGTGATTGGCTGCGACGACACAATCCACGAATCGAGTGGACGACGGGTGACTGCACCGTGCGAGTGAACGGTAACAACATCTCCTTACCTCGCTGGTTTCGCCTGAGCCTTCGTCGGTGCGTGTCAACGCGATCACGATGAAACGCGCCGTAGTGGCAGGAGCTGACGTGTACGCGGTCGACATTCGGGAAGCCTAGGCAGCAGACAAAGGAGGGGATTTACAGAAACCGCTGGCCGACGTACCGAGTGATCTGGCAGCACTGTTGAAGTAGTACAGCGACATTTTCCCGGATGATTTACCGACGGGACTGCCACCTCAACAACCGCACGACCACAGGATAGAGTTAGAACCGGGGGCACAGCCAAGAGTATAGCGACAGTTCCGACTGACCCAGCCCGAACTGGACGAACTGAGGAAGCAGCTCGATTACATGCTCGAGAAGGAAATCATTCGCCCTAGTTCGTCGCCTTTCGCAGCACCGATACTGTTAACACCGAAAAAAGACGGGGTATTTCGCATGTGCATAGATCACAGAGCACTGAATAGGGTTACCATCAAATCACGTTACCCATCCCGCGAGCCGACGAACTGATCGACCAACTGCGCACAACCCAAATTTTCTCCAAAATCGACCTCCGAAGGAGTTACCACCAGAATCGCTTCAATCCGCCCGACTGCCCTAAGACCGCATTTCGCACACGCTACGGATCCTTCGAATACACCGTCATGCCCTTCGGACTGACCAACGCCCCCGCCACGTTTCAAATGACCATGAACGAAGCTTTCTGAGAAAAGTAGAACGAGAATGAATGACTAAGGAATGGAAGTGATACAAATATGCAACCCTAGAAATGTGTACCCCATATGGGCTACCCAACTATAGCCTACACAATATTATAATTTGACACACCCCCATAGGCAAAGTGGGGGAGAACAAGGGGTCACAAGACCAGTCAAGCAAAGCAGACAAAGGTCAGGGTGGATCACAACGTCACCACATAGTCCGAGCACAAGGTCAAGGCCACAAGGCCAGTTCACATGCAGGAGTACACATATATATAAGGCTAAACAAGCAAGAGCAGGTATATATTGTGAAACTATGAGCAGAGGAATGAATTGACTAAGTCAGAGTTGGGTACAAATACAACCCTAGCAAACTGTACCCCATATGTGCTACCCCACTATAGCCTACAAACATGCATCAGCTATAATAATCTGACACACCCCCATAGGCAAAGTGGGGGAGAACAAGGGGTCACAAGACCAGTCAAGCAAAGCAAAACAAGCTCAGGGTGGATCACAAAGTCACCACACAGTCCGAGCACAAGAGCAAGGCCAGAGGCCAGTTCACATGCAGGAGTAAAGACATATATATAAAACTAGACAAGCAAGAGCAGGTATATATATGTCAAAGTACAAGTAAAGTCAAGAAGAGAGCAAGTGAGGCAAGACAGGTACAAGACCCAGCTGGGTACAAAAGCGCTGATGGTCGCAAGGCGCAAGTGCCTTGGTGAACACATCAGCAGTGTTGGCCT